ATATATATATATATATATATATATATATTCGTTAAACTCTTAAAAACATTTTAATATTTAAAACTAAATAATCAATTGTATAATATACACAAATATCAAGAGAATTTAGCTCGATTAATCATTCTATGTGAATAAATTGTTATAAAATTTATTGATATTGGATTCAATTTCTACGAATAAAAAAAATACACAAAGTAAATTCAAATAAGAAAAACAACTTTTATTAATGAGATATTAGATTTATTTAAAATTTAAAAACATGTTCTATTAAAAAATATGCTTTTTAAAAGTAGATAAGAAATTATTTTTTAAAAATAGATTTTTTCTTATCTATAATCTATAATAAATATTAAAAAAATATCATTTTCCTGTTTTTACATTTTTAAGACACATTTACCATTTAATAATCTGTTTCTCATTTTATCCTTATTTGTAATTGCAACCCTCCGGTATAGGAATGATAAAAATACCCGCACCCACGGGTATTTGTGGGTAAAATCCGCTACAGATAATAAATGAATAGACTAATTGGGTACCCGCGGATAATGGAGACGGATAATATTTTACCCGTTTATAAACAGGACGAGGGCGAGTATGATGATATCCATACCCGCGAGTAGGGGTGGGTATATGGACTTGAGTCCGCGGACCGGTCAATATGTGAAATACACAGGTTAAACTATTGGTAAGGGTTAAAATAATAACAATTTTTTTATCTATTAAAATTACAATAATAACACTAGGTTCGAATCTAAGATCTTATGTATTTTATCTCAATCTTTCACTTTTAAATTGACCCTAATAATTCAAAATAGTAATCACATCACATATTAAATAAAAAACAACACTTCAAATTTTGAAATATTGCATGATGATCTCTATAAAAAAAATAATAACTTCAATAAATTTGGTAATAAATATTTTAAAAGTTACAACAAAGATAGCTTTTAACTAGTTAATAATATAAAAATTATATTTACAATATATATATATATATATACTTTGATGTACTTGGACTTACAAATGTTTTATATTTGTTTGGTTGTGTATTAAGACTTTTAAAGTTTTAAGGTAGTAAGGCTTTAATATTTGGTTAATAGTTGGTATGCTTTGACTTTAAATTTTAAAGGCATTGAGACTTAAATATTTCTATTAGAAATTTAGAATGTGTAAACTTTGTTATTTAAGACTTTGATTTATTATTTACAATGTTTGATGTTATTATTAGAAGTATATTTATATCATTTTATATGTTTTTTTTCCTCATGTTTTTATAGGTTAAATAAAGGAAAAGAAATTTAAAATCTGAGTCAATATTCATTTAAACAATTTAGATTTAATTGGGCCCGCGGGCTTATCCGTTTATCCGTGGGCTTCACGGGCCGGATACAGACTTGAAGATTTAAGTCCATTTATTTCGCGGACCGAATTTATCTGGCCCGTTAAAAATGCAGACTTCGCGGACCGGGCCTTAAACGGGCCGGACCGGTCCGCATACACACCCCTACCCGCGAGTATCCTTTTAATAATATTTCTTAAATATCCTAATTATCCTTGTACTAGATAACCCTAAAACTACACTCTCTCATCTTATTTTCTTTCCATAGCCGTATAACCCACACATTAGTCATCACAATAAGATTTATGTATTTTAAGTTGTTTACTTTCGTTTGGAATTATGAGATTGAATTATTGTAGCTTTCTGATGAGACTTTCACTTGTGAGATTGATGTATTTTAAGTTATTGATTATCTTGCATTTTTATTATTATTTCAACAAAATTAATGTTAAATACAAGTTCAAAATTAACACTGAATTTTTATTTTTAATATTTTAATGACATTAAATATAAACTTAAAATTATTTCTAATATAATTTTTTTAATTTCTTAAAAAATTTATAAATATCCAGGGATATCTATGAGTATTTAAGAAATTCATAGGTACCTGCTTAATGGATACCCACATGGATATAGAGTGGGTATGAGGCCAATTTTTATCCCACAAAACGAGGACGAATTTACTATTACCCGCCTCATGGAACCCTATTCCTATTCCTACTATGGTAAATAAAAGCTACCATTATTTATCAACCTCTATCGAAATTGGTAATTGCTATAATATATGCATTAAATTCAGCAATTCTCTTACTTTTATTTAAATAAATACAGAGAAATTCGATCTCTTTAACAAATAATAAACGATTTAGACATATGCATTAAAAAAATATTAAATTTCTTATTTTATTAAATAATGTTTTATAAAAGATATGAAACAAAAACATGCCATCCTATCATATTCTCTCAAAACTGAAAAATGAGATATCATATTCATTTTTTTTTCAACGGAGAGGGGTAAAATTGTAAAAAAAAAACACCCACAACTCAATGAATAAGAAAAAAAAGTAGACATTACATAAAAATTTTTACTAAAATAATTTTTTTTAAAAAACATTTACCAAAAAAGCACCTGTACCACTTTATTTACCCAAATAGAACCTTTTACTGTTCACGTTCAGAATTCGGTTCTCTGGGAACCGAATTCTGAACTTCAATTTTTTTTTTTGCTCAGAATTCGGTTCCGAATTCTGAGTAGTGTTTAATTTTTTTTTTCTTTTCTGTTTGTAGTTCGGGTTGTAGGTTAATGTTGCAACTGGAACGACCCGTTCTCCAAGCAGAACGGGCCGTTCTGCTTGCACGAATAGTCTTTTATTTTTGAAACTGGAACGTCCAAGAAGAACGACCCATTTTGATGTATTCGTCATGTGTATATTTTTTGCATCCGGAACGGCCTGTTCTGAAAGGAGAACGGGCCGTTCTCCTTGTAGAACGGCCCGTTCTCCTTGTAGAACGGCCCGTTCTCCTTTCAAAACAGGCCGTTCCGGATCCAGTTTTATACCATTCTCAGATCCAAAAACGCAAAAAATAAAAATAAAAAAATTTAACAGCTCAGAATTCGGTTCCCCGGGAACTGAATTCTGAACGTAAACAGTAAAAGGTTCTATTTGGGTAAATAAAGTAGTACAAATGATTTTTTGGTAAATTTTTTTAAAAAAATTTTATTTTAGTAAAAAATTCACATTACATATGCTAGAGCAACATTGGAAACATTAGAAACAAGAGGAATAAGTAAATTAAACACTAATTAACACAAAAATAAATTAATAAATAAATATTTTAAATAAATTAAAAATAAAATACATTAGGCCAAAGAGAAAGAGAAAGAGTAGTGCCCCTAACACTAAAACCCCAAAGTAAGTCCCAACCCTAATAATCTTCCCCTACACTCTCAAATTTCCCCCATTTCCCTCCTCTCTTTCTCTCTCTTTCTCTCTCTCTCTCTCTTCTCGCGCATGCCATCACTCCCTCTTCCCTTTCCCTCTCTTTTCTAATTTCCCCTTCCTTTTTCACTCATGGGCAAGTACATCAAGAAGTCCAAAATCGCCGGCGACGTCGCCGCCGTCATCATGGAGGCGCCGCCGCCGCACTCCTCCCTCGGCGTCCGCACGCGCGCTAAGACGCTCGCCCTCCAGAACTCCCCGCAATTTCCGGACCCCTCCGCCTACCTCCAGCTCCGCAGCCGCCGCCTCCTCAAGCTCCCTCCCCCCGCGCCGGAAAATCCCCGCCGCTCCGCCGCCGAAACCGCCGTCGCCAATTTCGCCCACGCCCTCGCCAAAACGACGACGTCCGAAAAGTTTCCACCTTTCGAAGACGACAACGCTGAGTGCTCCTTCGGCGAAAATTTCTTGGAAGTTGAAGGTCGAGAAGAAAGGTATATGCATATAATTCCCTTTTTCTTTCTCTGGGTTATTCATTTTTTTCCCTTTTTCTTTTCTCGCTCTGTTTCTCTTCTTTTTGTTAATTTTTTTTTAATATTTTCTTAATATGTTATTAGGCTCTTACTTTTGTTTCTTGTTTCTTCTTGCTTCATGCATGTTAGTGTTAATTTTTTGGGGGTAAAATATATTTTTGTCCTAAAAATATTGCAAAATTTGATAAAATTTTAGAGGCCAAAAGATTTTTTATCTTAAAATACGAGGACTACCGAGGTGTTAAAAATTTTATGCGAATTAAAAACTAAAACTTAAAATGTTTGAGGTGCAAAAATTCATATTTTATCCAATTTTTTTGTTGCATGCAAGTATTGCCGTGGTGTGTTTATGTTCTTTTATTTTGTTTTGTATTATTTAATTTTTTTTACCGCTCTTTAGTTTCTGATTTTTATTTATGTGATTGTTTGTGTTTCTAAAATTGTTGAGATTTTAGTGGAGTGAGAGTCATGGAAGTTTGTGGAAGGGGAGTGGGTTTCAGAGTTGTTTTATTATTATTATTATTATTATTATTATTATTATTATTATTATTATTATTATGATATATATTTTTCTCTCGAAAGGTCACCACCTTCTGCTTCTCATGCCTTTCTATTGTTGTAGTCAATATTAACCGTTGTGCTTGAATCTCGTGAGGTCTTAGTGGCTTAACTTTTGGTTATAATGTGTTTTATCTTTCATGTGATTTGTTTTGATTTTTTACTGTCAAATCTGGGTACTGCTGTTATTAGTACGAAGTGTTGCTCAGATTTGTGACTTGTGTGTGACTCGGGATAGGTCCTGCAACTTGCATTTTTTCAGCATATTTATTTACTGCAACTTGTATTTTTCTGCGGTATTAATGTTTTTATGTTACTCTTTAATTGCGCCACTTCTCACTCCCACAGTTTATTAAATTGTTATCAGAAAATCCTATTTGCTATATTATGATTTTCTCTCTTTACATAATGAATTATGGCTAATAATGTAGCAAGTTGATAAATTTTCAATTTTTTTGCATGTAAATAGAACCAAGTAAATGGAAAATAAGTTTTGTAACATGATTCAGAAACAAGGAAGAACATCTCCAACTCCAAATTGAGTGCATTGATGTACATTAATTGTCTCTGTAGATCCAGTTTTGACAAATTGTGATTTGACAATTTTCATGCAGTTATAAATTTGAGACCATTTGTTATTTCTAGTCTTTCTCCTAACATTTTGATAAATAAAAAAAAACTTAATAATCAGAAATTTTTCTGTCGTGACTCCAAAATGCATTTAACCTTGAATGTCCTTGTTTACTTTTGATCTGCAAGAACCTGCATGACCCTGAAGCTGAAGCTTGGCCCTCCGTAATGGTCAAGTTGAAAAAAATTGGACTTTAGTAAATAGGAGCAGCCATAACTCTTATGACTCGTGTTAGCAATGATGTGTCATTTACATGGGGCCTAGTTGCAGATTGATGTTTTTTTGGGATTCCTATTTGGGTTTGCGGAGTAGTGTGAAAGATTTTGCCGTCTCTTTCTTTGTATTTTTTTAGTGCTCGAGCCCACTGAGTCAGAACTTGTCCCAATAAATGCCAGTTACTTTATTATAGTAGCAAAATTTGTCTCTAGTTTCATACTGAGCTGTATGTAGGAGATTGTGGGAGGAAAAATGATCTGTTTTTTTCTCTCACTTATTTTGCTGTCAGCGGTTAGCATGCAGCTTCTGGTGTAGAAACTTTTGATACCAAGTCAGCATTTGTATTTGTTTAACTACTATATTTTATTTCCATAAGCAATTTTTATTAAAATTTTATTATGATTTAACAGAAGCACCAGGGAAAGCACCCCTTGTAGTCTAATAAGGGATTCAAATGCCATTCATACCCCTGGTTCAACAACAAGGCAAAGGACACGCCAAATAATCCATGAACGCGTACAAAGAAATATTCCATCGGCTTATGAGATGGAGGAGTTCTTTGCTTATGCAGAGAAGCAGCAACAAACAATATTTATGGACAAGTTTGTACTATTTTATCCCGTCATCACAAGTCCTTTTCTCTTTTATTTTGATTTCTTATTTATTAATTTGATCATGTAATGTGTCTATGTTTAAATTGTCTGTATTTTGCAGGTACAACTTCGACATTGTCAATGAAGTACCTCTGCCTGGACGGTACGAATGGGTCCCAGTACTCCACTAAGATAAGCTTCAGTGTCATATGGTGATATGGATTTCAAGTAGAGTTATTAAACTTGTATTTTAACATCTAGCAGCTTTCACTAACCTTTTAGATTGCATGAGGCTCTTCGTTTAAAGGGAAAGGATCTGTTTAGAATTTTCTGATATCTGAGTAGTGTAGGGTTTTAGTGTCTTTCTGATTTGTAGGGTGTAGAGGGGGTATATGGTATATCTAGTTTCTAGGTCATCTTTATTGTAATTTCATTATCTTCTGTCTATAATTCAGTGGGGATTAGACATGATGTTAATGTAGAGAGTACTCATTCATATCATCTTGGTCCTCAACCTGGAAATTTGCCATATTGAAGTTTTAACCTTGGGGACCATCTTCTTGCTCTATGCCCCACAACTCCACAAGGAATGCCTCTAATGTCAGTGAGGGTTTCAAACTCAACTTACATGACAAACGGTCAATACTGACAACTCAGGAGCACAAAATAAAATAAATGAATAGAAACATTTACATTGAATTTAAATAATAGATGGCGTTACCAAAAATGGTTAAGATTATTTCATCATACGGGTAAACCTTTTTTCTGTACTTAATTAAATGAAATAATATTAACTTTAATAAGGAGTTATGTTAGAGCACCTCCAGCGGAGGGTGCTTGTGCTGTTTCTGCTGGAACAACACCCTAATTTAACTCTATTTGTTGCTTGTACGATTTTATTTTTCTACTGAAAGTCTTCAATTCTGTCATGTCACGAACACACATAAATTGAAACGTGAACTCGTGCTAGTTTGAACAAAAAGAACCTACAAACGAAATCCTCCACAAACACTTCCACAACAACATTTTTGGTTGGTGATATTTTAGTAATGTGATTGATCAAGTTTGAAAGATGGAGAGAAACGAAAAACAAAGATGGATGCAAGTTAGAACGAAAACTTGTAGCATGCTTATTTATATTAGGTGAAGGTGTGAATGAGAAGGGAATCCAATGCTACCACACTTGGAGAAGGTGTGACCGAGAAGGGAATCCCCTAAAAAAGGAAAAGAAAAGTGGTCGAGAAATCGTACCCAAAGCTGCCTCGTACGCACAGTATGCCTTATGCGCAGGTCGAGGAGTGCATGTGAGAATTGTGGGTTTAGGGACCAAAGCTACCTCATATGCACAGTATGCCTTATGCGCAGGCTGCGGAGTGCATGTGAGAATTGTGGGTTTAGGGACCAAAGCTGCCTCGTATGCACGATGTGCCTTTTGCGCAGGCAAGGAGTGCGTGTGAAGTATTGTGGGAATTTGCTTTCTGACCCTTTGCTACGAGCCTGGCTCGTTTAATTTATAGACAAAGATTTGGGAAAGGTAACTGTTTCTAACGTGCCCCGGAAGTGCATAATCGTTCTAAACTTCCACGTAGTGGCCTACTCCCGGGCCCGTCTCTAGATAATTCTTGGAACTGCTCGTTAACTTCCCCTAAACCGTTCTGCAGCCTTTGACACTTATCCCATGTTACTTCAACTGCTCCTAAATCGTGTCTCCTTTAAGTTCTCCATTCTGAGAGGCTATGAAGTGTATTCGTATATGTCCGGATTCTTGGGATTTCGAGTAACCAATGAAAACTATACTTGAATGTTTCCTGATTCTGCTTGTACTTTGAGAGATTGCGAGGCCGTGAGCCCCTTTTCCTGGGCAGCATCCTTCCTGGTTCAAGGATTTCAAGAGTTTCACGAAAAATGTCTTCGCGTATCTCTTGATTCTCTTCAAGTTTCGTATGCCTTCTTTAGAAACTTCTCTGCCATTTCTCGATCATCTAGGATTTTCAAGCACCCTTGTGTTTCGAGTTTCTCCGAATTCATTTTCTGGTACTAACAGGAAGCAAAATGAACACAAGTTTGCCTTCATTGGTAGAACGATAAGTTTTACACATTATCGTTATTTACTTAAAATGTAAATTAATATCTATGCATAATGTGCCTAATTTGTTAATCACTATAAGACACTGAATGTAACAGCCCATTTTTCGTGGGCCAAAGGCCCAATTCGTGGCCCAGAACGGGCCGTTTCAATTTTGAAACGGGCCGTTCTGGAATAGTGAGTATGGCCAAAATTGTAGAAGCAGAACGGGCCGTTCTGATGGGAGAACGGGCCGTTCTGGTTTGGAGAACGGGTCGTTCTGGAAGCAGAACGGGCCGTTCTGTTGGGTTTGAGAACGGGCCGTTCTGGTTTGGGAACGGGCCGTTCCAGTTGAAAAATTTACGTAGGTTTGAAGGGCCCAGAACGGGCCGTTCCGATTTTGGAACGGGCCGTAGTGGTAGGTGGGCGAAAAATCCTATAAATAGGCCTCAAATCCT